AAAAAAAAAAGACATGAAATCAAAATGTCTTCAAAGGTCCCATTATCTTGTCTTTAGATAGTGGGATTGCATTCATCATATACAGCCCATAAACAGTTCCCCTAATTCTTTAATCAGTTAACATTTTCCCAATGGTCCTTGTTTTTCAATGTCTCCTTAAAAAACTTTAGAAAAGTCACCACCTATTTGCTCTGGGGTACTGGAATAATTCCTCCACCTCCTTGTCAACTGTTAGACATTTTTTGAACCCTCCTTTCTGAGGCTGTACCAGCTTAGCTGATGCATCTTGAACAAGAAACGGTATAGCATAACTCAGTTCTTAGCAGCAGGACTTGGGTTATATCAATGAAACACATACACTTGAATTAGGTATAGGTAAGTAATCATTGACTGTGACACAGAATGAGGTGATGTAATGAGATCGTCTCTGTTGGATGGAATTGTTGGGTGGGACACCAGGGCTCCTCAGTTCAAATCAGTCGTCCACCTCAACTTGGTGGATGTTTGGTCTTGCAAGTTCTCTGCCCCCATTTGAAATGATCATGAGACTCATGCCCTGCCTCAGCATTTAGAAAAGCTGTAGGCGACACACTTGAGCACACTCAGAAATATAAAAGTGAAAGTCACTACCATACTTGGCTGTCAATGTTCTGGGCTGGGGATCAGATGGGGATCTCTCATCATTGTACTTACCAAGTAATTATAGTGAGTTATTTTGTCAATATATGGACTCTTGGGGGTAACAATAATATTCAGAAATTCTCCTACAAGCACGGGCTTGTAGTTTTCAGTCCAAGCAATATAAATGTAACTTTGGCTGAGAGATGAGTATGTGATCGCTTGGTACTCTTTGCTGGCTTGATTTTCTTCTGATAGTTCTGGGGCATCAGTTTTGACCTGGAAAGGAAAATTTCAAAAGTTCACGTGGACTGTGTGCAATGGTTTCTGTGAAACAGATCCTTTAAATCTTTTGTTTTTTTTTTTCAGATTCCTAAATTTCCCTATGCTGGTTGCTAAAGAGCAGAAACATCGAGCTTACTCCAGTGTTTGTGTAGTTTTACTTGTGGTATCAAGTAACTTTGGAAAGTCTATGGAAAATACTGAGGGCAGGGTGGGCTGTGTGGAGGAATCTGATAAAGCCAAGAGACGGCGGTTCCAAGGCAGGAATATGGGCACGCTTCCAGAAATATTCTATGAACTGGAGACTCCTAGGGCGGGAGATGACCTGGCAGGAGACGTGACAGAGAGGCGGCTATAACTCACCAGGACTGGAGTACAGGGTTTATGAATGCACGTCATGGTGCTGTCTGGCCCAGGTTCAGTGGGAAGTGATGACACAGCAGTGGTCATAAACTCAGGGGGAAGGGACACCTGCTTTCAGGCAGGGGGAGGGTTCCTAGACCATGCACTGGAGTTATCCTAATAAGGTTTCCATAGATGCCAGTGAATGCTAACTTCAGCCAGTGGCCTGAGTTCTTAGCCCCCTTGGGTTTTATTTGGGAACTTAAACACATTTTCTGGGAAAGAAGATGATGAAGTGAGCTCTGAAACAGTGTAGTTAATGTATCAGGGAAAAAAGGGAGGCTTTCACATCTGATTCCTGAGTGACCCTGAAAAGATAAAGTACATGTGTGTTGGAAGGGTATATTCCGGCCACTGATTCCACTGTTGGGTCTACTCTGACACTTCTGAATTGTGATGTAATCTTTTTGGTATAAAAGGAAATAGTTAATTTCCAAACAACAAAAAAATTTGACCATCCCTCCACCCCCCACCCCCCCGGGACCATTCACTATGTTAGCAAATTGTTTCAGGGTACTGGTTTCATTTTGGGTGCAAAACTATGGAATTATTCTCTGGACTTGTGGATAAAATCAGCCACATCTGGTCTGTACACCAGCCAAAACACACAGTCAGAAGCACACGCTGTGCTGAGAAACACAGCAAGAGCAGTAAGCTCACGTTAAAGTTCAGCGCCGTCACTTCAGATGGGAGATTGACCACGAACGAAGCTACCCCATCAGTGGTGTGAGTGACACTTCTCTTTGGTTCCAGGTCAGATGTCTCTTGATTCACATCAACTGTCTGCGCCGTCAGAGTTACCGGGACCCCTCCTACCAGCTGCTCAAGTGAATCCTTAACCTGGACCTGTTTGCCAGAATAATTCCATCAGGTTTCAAATCGGAAAGCCTCTGAAATGGTTTTCTGTCCTCTCTGCCTCCTTCAACCCTACCCACCTTGATGGAAAATGGAATGCCAGGCTTCAAGAAAAGAGGAGTAGCAACCAGATTCAGCGTGTAGGGAGAGAGGACATATTTGATGCCGGGGATTTCTGCCTCTTCTGAAAATCCACCTACGAGGGCAGCAGGCACTGTGTTAATGTTTCCGGAAAGGTGACGGTGGTCTGTAGGAGGCCTGGCTGATTTGTGTACCACACACGTACTCATCCCCTCCACTCATCCCTGCCTTCATTCATTGGCCAGCCGTAGCTGGGATGCGATTCCTGAGTGCAGACAAGAAGCAGGGGCTTCTGAAGCCTACGCAGACAGCTCCCTGTCAGATGTCCCTCTGAAAGTCAGGCTGTAGCACGAGACAGAGGGATTTGAAGGCCATAGTGCCTGCCACTCAGCAGCGGTTCAAGATGCAGTTGAATGTGTTCAGAGGATCCGGGAGAGAGCGGGGACCCCGAGGCTGAGCCTCAACAGGTAGAGAGAACTGGAGAAGAATCAGACACCTTGATACTGAGAAAAGTCCGAAGGCCTACTTGAACATCACAATAGGATTGCCCTGCAGCTTACAATTAAATGATAGTAGGATAATACAAACACCTCTAGTTTCCCCTGCCTCCTCTCTAACACTGCATCTCTATTTCCCCCGGCAGCCAGACCAGTCAGTGCTGTCCTCAAAGAGCAGACTTCACCCCCCTCAGTGCCTTCTTTCTCGGGCCTCTCTGTGGAGGGGACCCTGCTTTACCCCGTTTACCACTTCTGCCTCCAAACCCCACCCTTTCTTCAAGACCAGACATCTTTCCAACATTGTTGTTGGTTACTGTACAACCATCCAGAAGCCGGCCTCCGTTTACAGGGTAATAGCACGGAGCTCTTTGCTCAGAGCACTTTAGAATTCTTGCACAGGTCACTTGCTAACAAGTGTCTTTGTGCACATCTGATACTGATTTGTAAGCCACTTGTGTGCAGCTTTACACTTATACATGCGGTCCTGTACATTTATAAACAGGTTTTGAATATCTCAGTTGAGGAACATAAGAAATGTGGGAGAGACACGTTACTATCATGTTGAAAACAAAAGCCAGGTTGAGCAGTAACAGGTTTTGAATATCTCAGTTGAGGAACATAAGAAATGTGGGAGAGACATGTTACTATCATGTTGAAAACAAAAGCCAGGTTGAGCAGCATCACCTATGCTCTCTAGTGGCTCTTGAGCCTCTAGCAATGCATGTCATCCAATAACATAATTATTTCAATTCTCTATTCTGCCACCAGAGAAGGACAAATTTCAGTAGTGAAGTGTGCCTTAGGAATCACTGAATATCATTATTTTAAAGAAAAAATTTGCCGGGCGGTGGTGGAGCACACCTTTAATCCCAGCACTAGGGAGGCAGATGCAGACAGATCTCTGAGAGTTCGAGACCAGCCTGGTCTTCAAGAGCTAGTTCCAGGACAAAGCCACAAAGAAACCCTGTCTCAAAAACCAAAACCAAAAACAAAAAAAAAGAAAGAAAAAGAAAAGAAAAGAATAAGAAAAAAGCTAGATTTGGTGTGGTTAAATTATTTATTCAAGGTCAGTTGGGGGTTTGATATGAACCTGAAATATAAAACCATAATAGTTGTAAGCAATACTAGAAGTCAGTGAGACTGAGTTTGGAGTAGTAATTAATAGCTATTAAAAACCATGAGAGCCATTAGCAAGAACACATGCTAATAATCCCAGCATTTAAGAGACAGGAACAGTAGGATTGTTGTAGGTTTGAGGCTAGTCTGTGCTACACAGTGAGAGCCTGTGCCAGAACAACAACCAATGAAGGGTATTTGAGAGCCACAGGCAATTAAGTAAATTAAACAGGCTAAAGACGTGCTAGGATGACCCTGCGAAGAAGCTGGGAGAAGAGAGGAAGAGTGGGAGAAGCCAGCGCTCAGGTGGCATTAGGTGTGT